TTGGGATTTGTTCAGCCCCGTTAGCGGAGCTATGGGGAGTTTACTATGGTTTGTTCACGGCATGGGAAGCTCGGGCGACACGAGTGGAGCTTGAAGTGGACTCTCAGATAGTGGTTGGTTTTCTCACGACGGGGATAAGTGATTGTCACCCATTGTCGTTCCTAGTACGTTTGTGCTATGGCTTTTTATCGAAGGACTGGATAGTCCGAATTTCCCATGTGTATAGGGAGTCGAATCGTCTTGCGGATGGTTTGGCGAACTATGCTTTTACTCTTCCTTTAGGCTTTCATAAATTTGTTGTTGTTCCGCCTTGTGTGGCGTCGATTTCTTTTGAGAATATTAGTGGTTCTTCACGACTACGCTCAGTTAGGTTATAATTTATTTTCGGTTATGAATAAATGGGGGAGACAATCTCTGCTTACCAAAAAAAATATATATATATATATGAAAAGATATGGCTAATTCCTGATGCATTAACATGCACTTTCTCACCTAAGTTAGAGGTTCTAGATCCGTGAGTAAAGAGAGAAAGCTTCATTGTATCTCTTAGCTTCGAGTAGTAAAACTTACCCATTCGTACGTACGTGTTAGCAAAATACCAATCCAACTCAGAAGAAAGACTATCACTTGTTTACGAATCATTAATCTATCATATTTTTCCTTTGAACGTCGGCAATGTGGGTGTCAAAAACAGAACCCCCGGCTCAGATTTGTTTTTGTGCTTTTTACCATACTACTATACTAGAGACTCACTATCACATATTCAGATGTTTTAAATTGGGAATTTGGTCTAATGTGCCATTTACTGTAGCAAAACTTATTGAAATTGCCATAAATCTTAAATCTTTTGAAATGTGCCACAATTGTACTTTAAAATGTGAATAAGAAGACGAAAATATCCTTCATGCGTTTGGACGGAAATATAAAAGAGAATAAAGGTTGTTGATGCACGTGATATGAGGTGAGGAGACTGACATTTAATGTAGACAATTGCAGGCTTTTCCTTTCTCTTTATTATTCATTTTCTCTCTCTTGACACTTTAATTTTTTTTCATTTTTACTACAATATCTCGTAAAAGAATAAGAATGAAGTGGACCATATTCTACATTTTAATATTGTAAATTAAATTCAGTTTACTTGTAGACGAGTGTTAATGTTGTCCTCCAAAAACTTCAACTTTAATTTTAGCCAAATTACCCTCGTAAACAACATTGAAGTTTTTGGTGGACAACATTGATATTCATACATAGTGGACATGCATGTTTAATATTGGTCTTCTCAAGTAAATAAATTGTTATCTATGTGGGAGGTTTTTTAACTTAACTTGTCTACAGGTGTGAGATGGACAACATTAAAATGTTGAACTTGTCTACAGGTGTGAGATGGACAATATTTTACGTAGTTGAACTTGTCCGTGCTGATGTGAGATGAATCTCATACCCAGCTTCGCCGTTACTGATATTGATGCTATCGACAAGAACATATGCAACATATACGGTCAAGAGTGAGTCGTGTTGTTCGTCGAAGTGCTTTTGAAATATTGTCCCCGGATAATCGGTCAATAGTAAAACGGGAACAGTAACAACTAACAAGGAAACAGGTGAACAAATAGAGATTGGGATCAAAAACTTGTGGATGAGGAAGAGACGAGCGGTGGAAAAAGAAAGATAAATGTTTTTTTTTTTAATAAATGTTTAAATAAAAGAAAAGATGGGTTGTGTAACGTGGCACTAAAAGGGGTCAGACATTTTGACTTTGATTTCTTTTTCTTCTTTCTATTTTTTTTTTTTTTTTTTTTTTGTCATCCGAAATTAAATAGTGCTCAGAAGAGCCATTCCTGCGGAATGTTGTTTACATAAGTGACATGAAGCGGTTCTGTACGAAATTTTCGTGCCAGATTATCCGCTTTTACATTAGCACTGCGAGAAATTAAAGATAAAGAAAAGGTTGAAAATTCTTCTTTGTCGCTCTGAAACTCCTCCAAATACACTGAAAACGCCGGCCATTCGGTTGGAGAAGACACCATCTTCACCAGATCAGAACAGTCTATTTTCTTCTTTCTATTTTGTTGTTTGAGATTTGGCAAGGTTACATTGGTCTTTTTACTTTGGCTGTGTGGCACCAGCGAAAAGAATTTGGAAGAGATGACAGTTTTGATCAGTTTTTGAGCCGTACATGGCAGAATTGTTAGATTTCTCTTTTAAATTATCCATGGAGCACCAATTTATAACATTGTAAACCTAATCACTCTGCATTTTACATAGGAACCGTAAAATCCACATGAAGAAATTGTGTCATATATTCTCTGATCGCTGCATCAAACATTTTTCTATATCATCTCTATTTTGCTACTCTTATGGTCACCTGACTTCACTGCTAAATAGTAATCCACAGTCGAAATTTAAATCTTTATATAAAACTTACATACCCTAGCTCACATTTAGATTGATCAAGTTTGATTAAGCCTAAGCCTAAATATATATGTAATTCAACCAAATTGTTTCCGATATGTCATTTCAAAATGGTATCTCAAATAGTAAAGAACAATTCTTGGGTTCACCCCTAGGGGTGAACCCAATTCATTCACCCCCTCTTTAATAACCAATCAGAATTTGCCATGTCATCTGATTAAAAAAATTTAAACAATTAATATTATCAAAATAAAATAATTCAATTAAATCATTAAAAACTCACTCTTTTGTAAATCAAAACCGATATATCCGACCAAAAAAAAAATCAAAACCGATATATAATCTCGTTTAACTACAAAATCTAAACCCTAATTCTCGTTTATAAACCCAAACCGCCATTTAAACTCATTTAATCATTAAAAAACTAAACCCTAGTCGTACTTTCTAAACCCAAACCGACATTGAACCTCGTTTAATTGTAAAATCTAAATCCGTTTATAAACCCAAACCGATATTTAACCTCGTTTAATCATAAAATCTAAACCCTAATCGTATTTTCTAAACCCAAACCGACATTTAACCTCGTTTAATTGTAAAATCTAAATCCGTTTATAAACCCAAACCGATATTTAACCTCGTTTAATCATAAAATCTAAACCCTAATCGTACTTTCTAAACCCAAACTGATATTTAAACTCGTTTAATTGTAAAATCTAAATCCGTTTATAAATCCAAACCGATATTTAACCTCGTTTAATCATAAAATCTAAACCCTGATTTAATCTAATAAACTCAAACCGATACATAATTTCGTTTTAGTTGCAAATTAGATTTTATAATTAAATTATAATTCTTTTTATTATTATTAGGTGTCATATTCTGATTGGTTATTAAAGAGGGGGTGAATGTATTTGGTTCACCCCTAGGGGTGAACCCAAATATTTTCCAATAGTAAAATATCTCAAAGTCACTGTTTTTTTTTCATTTCTAATTCAAAGAATCATATTCTTCTTTTGATTTTCTATTAAAAAGCCAATATTTTCTTAGTTTAATTATAAAAATAGTCAGCACTCCCAATTTAACTGCACCTAATTAGAATTTTTGTAACAATGTATCATTTATCAAAAAATAATTATAGAGATACAAGAATATATTGACTGAAAAGAATATGAATAGAGTCCCATAATTAAAACTTTTTAAAAATGGTATCTCAAATAGTAACACATGTCAAAGTTTTTGTTTTTTTTGTCATTCTCATATACAAAGAATCAGATTCTTTTAATTCTCTACTAGATTTTACCCCGCGGTACACCGCGGGTCGATTTTTTATAACTAAAAATTTTTTTAGCAAAATTTTAAGTTGTATTTGTTTTGTTAATATTGTTTATTTTGTTTAGTGTTTCTGATTTTATAATTAAATTTTGATTTTTAATTCTAAGATTTCATCCATAGTATATTGTTTAATATTAATATCGATCTAAACCCGTTGCACCATATAACTCCGTCCCGTAAAATTAAACATCATTTGTTATTTTTTTTTGAATAATATTTTTATCCACTACGGGTCGCAGGTTCATGCGGATAAGTCCGTAAAGAGTTGCGGGTTTGCGTGTCGACCCGCCAAAAGAGAAGCTATCTTTTGAAACATTTTGTTTTATTTAGAGGTTCTGAGAAAGTATCCCTAAAAAATGATTTTCATTATATGAAAAAAAAAAGAAGTAGAAGAAATTGTAATATCAACATTCCCGATTTTTACATCACTCGTTACTATTAATTTTTTTTTTTTGCAGATAAAAATCAGAAGTTAACTAAGTCGAGATTTTTAAAAAGATTGTGTAGAGATTTTTGGTAAATTGTTGAGAACATATTTGATTTCAAAATCTTTACTTAAATAGATAAGGAAAGATTTTGTAGAGACTTTTGCTAAATATATGAGAAATGAATTTCATTTAAAAATTTTTACTTAAATAAAACAAATATAAATAATTAATGCTAATGGCATGGCATTGTAAATACTTCTCAACTTCAGGATTTATTTGCTAATTGTGATCCAAAAATGTATATAGATTGGAAAAGCCAATATTTTCTTAAATTAATTTTAAAAGTAGTTATCTCTCCCAATTTCTCTGTACCTAATTAGAAGTTTTATAACATTCTACAATGTATCATTTATCAAAAGGATATGTGAAATTGAATAGAACCGTCCCATATTTAAAACTTTTTTAAAAAAGAGAGATTCTATTTCTCATATTTCCTGTGACCCACGAATAGAACAAAGCCACGACAACACAGTGATAAAATAACTGCCACGTGTCGGTCGCATATAACCTTGATTTATTCAGCAAATAACTGCCACGTGTCGGTCGCATATAACCTTCATTTATTCAGCAAGTCTCTTTTCGACCGGAAACATCCGGTAACCGGTCATCTTCTCCACCTCTCTCTCTGTCTCACTCAAAACCCTCTTATATAGAAGAGAATCGACTGAGAGTTATTGGGTTTCATAAAACTATCAAATTTTGGTTTCTGGGCAAAGATTTTGGTTTCTGGTCTTTGCCCATATAGATATCTAGGGTTTAAGTCTTTTGTGTAAAAGTTCATTGGTAATGAAAAAGGGAGAAGAAGGAGGAGAAGAAGAGGTTTCTCTTCAAACTCTGAGTAAGAAAATGGATGATTTTGCAAAAGCTAGAGATTGGGAGAAGTATCACAGCCCAAGGAATCTCCTTCTTGCTATGGTATCTTTGTTTTATCTCTATCAATCTCTTATGTCTTATGAAAATTGAAATGGGTCTAGTTTTTATTTGATTGTCTAATAAACAAAAAAGATGGTTTTTTCTCTATCAAATCTGACCTTTGATTTGGGTTTTCATGTCTGTTATTCTCCTGATCTTTTTTTTCTCTAATTTGATGTTTGTTTCCATGAAAAGTTTCAATCTTTTTGTAACTAAAACAGATAAATATTGTGACTTGCTCTGTTTTGGCTATATAATTTGGACTTTGATTGTAACTTGTAAGTGGAAGACTCATAGATCTGAAGTCAAATCAATCTCCAATTAACATAAGCAACGACAAAAACATGTGATTGTTCCTTTCTTGTGTAAAGTGTTCAACTTTGATTTGGCCACATGTACTCTATGTCCTACTAGAATTAAAGTTCAAAACTTTTGTCCTATAAACGTGTTTCTTGTGTGGTTTGTTTAGTTTAGAAATGATTTGCTAAGTGAATTGAGAAAGATGATGAGAGCTTAAGGAGTATGGAAAATGTTGCAGGTGGGTGAAGTGGGAGAGCTATCTGAGATATTCCAATGGAAAGGAGAAGTAGCAAGAGGATGTCCAGATTGGAAAGAAGAAGAGAAAGTGCATCTTGGAGAAGAGTTATCAGATGTGTTGTTGTATTTGGTGAGGCTTTCGGATGCGTGTGGTGTCGATTTAGGCAAAGCGGCTTTGCGCAAGATCGAGCTTAATGCTATTAAGTATCCAGTACCCAAAAAGACTGATGATCATTGTGTTGGTGATGGTGAACAATCCAGCAGCAATATTAAGTTGAATGAAGAACATTAATCTCTCTTGTTAGTGGTTTAGTGAGTGTGTTTTATTATGGGTGTTTTCTTGTTATGAAGTTGGAGCAAGAGACAAGAACATATAATCTTTGAAGGCCTCTAATTATATTTTCATTGGTTTATGTATTTGCCTTTCACTGAATTTTGCAGTAAGTCCACACTGAGAGGCAACAAAAGATCAACTTTTATACCATGAATTAGCTGATTACATACAAGATGATTGATGAACACCATTTTGTCTACACTACCTATACCATCCCCTCTAAACCTTATCTTTGCTTCCCAAATGCTGTTTGTACAACAAATCAAAAACCGGAAAGTGTTTTCCATCAATGTCCCAAGGTTCCCTTGCTTTACAGGTTTGTTGCGACTGAATATTGCTCATGATTCAGTGGTGTAGCCACTGCTTTGCGGTGTTGATAGCGACAGAACGTCTCTGATTCGAAACCCATTTCCCCAGAAAGAGGCAAGGCATAGACCCATTATGGCCATTACAACCACAGAGCAAGCTGCTGGCACGGCTTGGCTGCTACCTAGGAACTGGCTTGCAAGAAGCCCCGCTAATGTGGAGCTCTGCATTCCCGTGCAAAGGGAGATAGTCCGGCTTACTTCTTCCTCTTGCCTGGTTAAAAGATCCAACAACATAACCCAATAAATTTTCAGAGTTCTATGGATTAAGGAAAATATTGAAGAGATACAAAAAGAACATGGATGATTGGAGTTACCGTAAGCCTGGGATCTTAGAGAACCAATATCCCAAGACAAATGCTACTGCATGGAATGTAACAATTGGAACAATCAATCCAAGACCTTCAGCTGACAGAATCTGACTGCGGTTTATCGAAAGTGGGCTTCCAATGCACAATGAAGTGCATACCATAGCAACAAACGGCATCACGGGTTGAAGAAGAGTGACCACAGGCTTCGCATAAGTATTTAACACAAGGCCAAGAGTGACTGGAACAAGTACCACCTACAGATAGTAAAGCTTGTTGGACCTCAAAAGAGAACGATGATAAGTTCTTGAAGATCATATTCCTAAACCTTACCTGAAGTATGGACTTCGACATGGCAACTGCATCAACAGGAACTACCGATCCAATTAGAAGACCACTTAGCAAAGGCGTAAAGATTACAGAGGCAATAGTTGTAGAACTAGTGAGAAGAATGCTCATAGCCACATCTGCTTTACTCAGAGAACTCGCGTAACTAGACAACTGAGCCCCCGCCACACAACACGTGAGTACAAAACCAGCGTAGAAGGTCCTCGGCATCCCAAAGGCATTAGCAACTAAAACCCCGAGAAGCGGTTTCAAAACGTACTGAGCAACAAACCCAACAGATAACGGCACTGGTCTGCAACCAACCAAACAATGTCCACACAAATTTTACAAAATCTGCTTAACTAAACTGATCATAAAACTTACAAGAGAATGCTCCAACTACCTTTTGAATGCAAGAGCAAAATCGTCAATCGAAAGCTGAATTCCAATAGATAACATAATCCCTCCAAGAGCAGGAGCATAGAGTTCTTTAGATACCCTGAAAACATTTCATCTGATATTCATCTTAAAACCCTATTCAAAATCTTAGTTTCTCTAAACAAAAGAAGATGACAAAACAGAGTAAACTAAGTAAAAGTCATAAACTTTGGTATTACAATTATAGACACATAATGCTAAGGTACAGAGAAAGAGAGAGTTTGTGTGCAAACCAAGTGAAACTAGGTGGGTAACAGAGAGCAGCAACAGCAGTGAGAGCAACAACAAAAGGAAGCAAAGCAGACCAAAACTGAGACGAATCAGCTTTCTCCGTAACATCAGTTCCACCACAAAACGATAACAGAGACATGTTCCCATCTCTCCAATGTAATCCAACTCTACCCATAAACGGCGTCGTTGAACACGCCACCACTGGTACTAATCCGCCGCCGTTTCTCCGCCGTGGTCTAAAATCTAGAAATTTACTAAGCGATGAAGAATGGAGAGAAGAGAGAGGTAAACTAGAAGACCGTAATTGACAATTGAAGCACTGAGATTTAGAAAGTGATTGTCTTTGTATAGCTGGTGGTGGGAGAGACAAAGAAGCGATTAAAGTCATTCTCTTTTTGTCTGAATTTTGTAAAGGTTGGATTTTTAGGAGAGAAGACGACGGAGGAAGGTGAAGCGCCACCGTGAAATGGCGCCGTGGAAATTGAGAGGGTGAGGTTTGGATTGGAGGAAGAAGAAGGAAATGATAATATAGAAAATTGGAAATATCTAAAGGGGAAAGATTTGTTAAGGTTTAGGCACGATTGACAAGTACTGTGCAAGAAAATTAAACGGCTGAGATTTGTTGGTGACGTGATCGTCGATGAAGGCATTGTTGGATGAATATGGGTGACAGATTGTTGTTTTGTTTGGTGCAAGACTCATTTATGCAGTGCTCAAAAAAGCACTAGGCCGTGGTGACCCAAAGCCTAGCGCCTAGAACGCCTAATCGGGGCCTAAGCGATTTTTTAGGCGGTTTAGACGTTTATTACATAAAACATTATAAATATGATATTATATATAAAAGTTATATAAAATATCTATATAAAACTAAAAATTATGAAATTATAAACAAAAACTAGATAAAACATTTATTTATATTTATATTAAACAATATATGAATATTTATAACTATATATATAAACAAAACTCTAATTGAAATTGAAAAAATACATTAAACAAGATCTGTGTGATTTTAGGCGGTCAAGGCGGTTATCTAGGCGTCGCATAAGAGCCTAGCGCCTAGTCGGAGCCTAGGCGACCCGCCTAGACCGCTTTTTAGAACACTGAATTTATGTATTAGTTTGGATGTTAAAATTGATTGCATTAAGAAATGTGATTTGTAAAAATCATATGTTATGGTGTTTAACCTAATCATATACTACAAAAAAAAATCCCAAATTTTCACAAAAATTTCCGGAGGGAAGAAGTATTTTCAACCGTTTTACCATTAAAAACATTGTCATATAAATTACTGACTAGAAATTGTCGTTCATCAAAATCGGTAGGAAATTTTCAAACAAAATGTTTTATGGGAAGAACAGTCGTAATTTTACGTGGAAAAGTAGTCGAATTTTTTTTCACCGATTTTTGACTATGTTATGTCAAAAAATAATCTCCGATTAGGATTTCTCATCACTTACCTTCCCAGGTATTTCCACCACTTAATTCCCTAATCTAAATTTCAAAGATTTTTAGAAAACTATTTGTAAAATAATTAAAATTTAATATAATAATATTTATATAACATTTATGTAAAACAATCCTCCAAATAACATGTTTTGCAAATTCACATTCTATTTACAAAAATGCATATCAACTTCAAACCAAAGTAAAATTTAATCCGCAATATGATTAGTTGTCACCACCGTGAAGTTTTTAAAGTTATGATACGTAATATTGAAATGCTATTTAATGTTAGATAAAAATAAAACTAAAAGAAATTATTTATTACATAATTTTGAAATTTGAAGTTTAGAAAAAATAGAAAACAAAAATTTAAAATGATTCACATAAATAAAACCGAAATGAAACGGAACTATTCCTGAGTCTCGTCTTCATCATCATCCAGTGGCGGACGTACGTTGCTATTAGGGGGGCACTTGCCACTGGTAAAATTTCCAAAGTTAATTTAATACAAATATAATTCAAAAACGCTTTTTTTTGTTTCCTTTGTAAACAATCCCATATTTTATTAATAATATAATGTTAAATCATTTTCGTTAACTGGTAAAAAATTAATCAAATGCTTTAACTTACTTAGAAGGTTCATTTTTGTTAACAAAATTAAAGTTTTTTTTATTTATTTAATATTATTGTTCCGGATAAAATTAATTTATGGATCCGCCACTGTCATCATCTTTTGGGACTTCCTGAACTTTTTGGGAATACGTTTTGTAATGTTGGAAAAATAATTGGTCTTCTTAACTTCGTTGATCAGCTGTGTATGATGATTGATGAGCAATATTTATCCCAACAATAGATATAAATTCCTAATCATCATGTTCTTAGAAAAAAATATGTTTAACATAGTCATATATGTAGCTTCAAATATGATACTATATAAAATAGAGAAATTGTTAAAAATGCCTCTTTTTTACTACCCCTTTTCAAAAATGCCCCTTTGAGAGTCCATTTTTAAGTTTGCCCTCTTTTAATTTTTAATGACCATTTTATCCTTATTTGAAACAAAATTAGGTCCACAAAATACAAAATATTTTTTGGCGGGAAAAGTGATCCCGCAATTTTCCCGCCAAAACACTTGTAAAAACCTTTAAAATACCTTGTAAAATTTTCCCGTAAAAAATTTTCCCGCCAAAAATTTTTTTTTGCTGGAAAAGTGATTCCGCAATTTTTTTGGCGGGAAAAATTTACAAGGTATTTTAAAGGTTTTACAGAGTATTTACAAGTGTTTTGTAAGGTTTTACAATGTATTTTAAAAGGTTTTATAAGGTATTTATAACTTGTAAAACCTTATAAAAAACTTGTAAAACCTTATAACTTGTAAAACTTTATAAATAGCTTGTAAAATCTTATAATATCTTATAAATACCTTATAAATACATTGTAAAATCTTTTAAAATACATTGTAAAACCTTATAAATACCCTGTAAAAAACCTTTAAAATACCTTGTAAATTTTTCCCGCCAAAAATTTAACGCCAAAAAAATTGCGGAATCACTTTTCTCGCAAAAAAAAATTTTTGGCGGGAAAAAATTTTACGGGAAAATTTTACAAGGTATTTTAAAGGTTTTACAAGTGTTTTGGCGGGAAAAATTGCGGGATCACTTTTCCCGCCAAAAAATATTTTGTATTTTGTGGACCTAATTTTGTTATATTTCTTTATATATTTGTGATATCTTTTATTCAAAGAAGGGTAATTTAGTCATTTTGTACATAAAAAGGGGTATTTTTAAAAATGGACAGCCAAATGGGGCATTTTTGAAAAGGGGTATTGAAAAAGGGGCATTTTTGTGAGTCTCCCTATAAAATATCGATATGGTAAAATTTACAATATACCTTTATTTAAAATATAATGTAAATAAAAGATAAATGTTTTACTATAATATTATAGAAATATTTTTATATTTGAAAAGATAACATTGTATCAATTGGATACTTATAATCATTTTATTTAAATCTAAAAATGCAAATGTAAGATTTTTAAATGTATTATGACATTCAAAATAGTTGACTGAATCATATTTTTTACAGGTAATAACATTATCTCTTTTAGTAGTAAAAATGTTTTTCCTTTAATTTTTTATTCTTTCCAGTTCCATTATATTTGAAAAGATAATATTTGATTTTATAGTTGTTTTTCATATTTTACCTAATATTGTATGAAATATTCCAAAAAAAAAATTATTGCTATTCACCACACAAATATCAATAGTTTACCAAGATTTGTTTCCATATCCAGTGGTGTTATACAATACCACAATTCTTATAATGTTGAGAACTCTGTTGTAATTGTTAGTCTACATTTTTCATCAAAATGGGTTGGTTAGTGGAAGCTATCATTGCTTCGATATTGTTGTCTTTGTGTTTTGCAATAACAGAGTCAGCTCCAAAATCTGCTCTCATAACCAAACTTCCTGGTTTCAACGGCAGTTTTCCATCTAAACACTATGCCGGGTAAATTTAATCTATGTTCTTATTACATTTTTATACAATTCTCATCTATCATAAAGTGTTATTATAGATTTTCTTCAAAATAATATTTAATCTCTTTTTTTATGAAATTTGGTGTGTGATCTAAGGTATGTGGCAATAGATAAACAACGTAATAAGAATCTATGGTATTACTTTGTGGAATCTGAGAGAAATGCTTCAGTAGATCCAGTTGTGCTTTGGCTTAATGGTGGTCCAGGTTGCTCTAGCATGGATGGATTTGTCTACGAGCACGGTAAGTTTTATATACATTTTCTTGTGTCGAAAAAAAGATTCATAACTCGAAATCGGGTCTCATCCGATGCGCTTTCATGTTGGTAATTGTAAATGTTTTAAATGGAAAATTTATGGTTTCTTACCGACTACAAGATTTAGGCTTGAATGGTAGCAGATTTTGAATGGGGTTTTACTTAGCTTTTTGTTTTCGAAAACTCACTAAATCATCCAATCAAGATTTTGGAACATTAGTGCTTCTAAAAACTAGGAAACCAATGTTTTTATTAGAAATTTTAGAAACTAGTTCACTTGTTTTATTATTATCAAAACTAAAAACTAAAATCTAAGAGACCCAAAAACTAGAATCTCAAACTCTACAAAACTCGTCAACCATTCATGACTGGTTTTTTATTTTTTATTATTTATTATTTTAATAAAGGTGTATATAGTAGTTTGGTTTCATATATAAGCAAATATCATCTAACTATGATATTGTTCAATACTATTGCAGGTCCATTCAATTTCGAACCAAAAAAGAAAAACTCACATCTTTTGCATCTCAATCCTTATAGTTGGTCAAAGGTGGAAAAGAAAAACAACATTGGCTTATTTTAAAACATTTTCTACAAAAGAAATTGTTCTAATTTTTTAAGAATGTGTTTTTTTTTGTTAGGTGTCCAATATCATATACCTTGACTCTCCAGTTGGTGTGGGATTCTCTTACTCAAACGACAACGCCGATTATACAACTGATGATACAAAAACCGCGTCTGATTCTCACAGATTCCTTCTCGAGGTGAAATAAGAATGCAATAGATTTCTTAAAAGCTTTCCTTGAGTTGTGTGTAATTCAAGATACTAACTATTACATCCACATCAGTGGTTTAAAATGTTTCCGGAGTTTCAGTCAAATCCGTTCTTTATATCAGGAGAATCATATGCTGGTATCTATGTGCCAACTCTTGCGGCCGAGGTTGTCAAAGGTCAGTATTATCTCTCTCAACATCATCTTTAGCTCCTTTTCATATATTAGCCGAATTAGAAAATAATGTTATCTCCATTTTTTCTCATGCATCATTTTTTTGTTATGTTGTAGGCAATAAAAAAGCAATGAGAACAAACAAAAAAAACAAAACAAGTAAGGAAAATAAGAATGTGACAAAGCCGGTTATCAACTTCAAGGTACGAGTAATGTTCGAGGATATGTCTCGGATTCAAAGTTCCTTATGTTTTTAGTTTTAAGAATACTAAGGATGCTAATGTAGCTACCTAATTGTCTCTTTGTATATATGAGAGAAAGAGAAACCTTATTGCTATATTTGAATACTTCACCTTTTACCAAAAAAAATAGTTGAATCTTAAAATTGGACCTATATGTCATATAGGGATATTTGGTGGGTAATGGAGTTACTGATGAGGTCTTTGATGGTAATGCTCTTGTTCCCTTCACACATGGGATGGGACTCATTTCTGATGAACTCTATGAGGTTTGATTTTGTTGGTCAACTTTTCATATTTCTCGCTTTATTCATCAATATTTATTTTTTCTAATATGTAACAAAATATGGCAGGAAACTAAATTACTGTGCAATGGAACATACTATACGACCGACCACACAGGTGTAAGTAACGAATGTGCTGACAAGCTTAAAAAGGTGTCAGATACTGTGAGCTTATTGAACATATATAACATTCTAGAACCGTGCTACCACGGAACATCTCTATCCTCCTTAGATATCGAGTTTCTGCCTAAGAGTCTCCTTACTCTAGGCAAAACAGAAAAGCCAATGGCCGTGAGAAAGAGAATGTTTGGTCGTGCATGGCCTCTAGGTGCCGTTGTGCGTCCAGGCATTGTACCTAGTTGGTCTCAACTACTCGAGGGCTCTGGTGTTCCTTGCATTGTAAGTAGTAAACCGCATCATGCATCTTTTCTCTTATAGTTTCTGCTTATCGTGATTGCTATTTTGAAAAAGTACTTATCAAAATTATCACTTATTTATTTACACACAAATTTACATATCTACATTTGGATACATTGTATTAGGATCATATATAAATTAGTTAAAAAAAAGTTGTAAGAAACTAAAAACTTGTAATGGACGCAGGACGATACAGTTGCGACCAAATGGCTAAACGATCCAGCTGTAAGGAAAGCGGTTCATGCTAAAGAGGTCTCTATTCAATTCATCATATATATTTTTCTCTATATGTGTTTGTAATAAGTTAACGTTTTGACATTTTGGACTTTTTTTCGAAACGTTGATAGGAAAGACAGATTGGTAATTGGGAGTTATGCTCAAGCCAACTCGAATATAGGCACGACACTGGTAGCATGATCGAATACCATAGAAACCTCACTCTTAGTGGCTTTCGAGCTCTCATTTTCAGGTGCATATATAGAAATACATCAAAGGGTAACTAAATGTAAAACCAACGAAAACATAAAAGATAATATAAGTTTAACTTTTTGCAGTGGAGATCATGATATGTGTGTACCATATACTGGCTCTGAAGCATGGACTAAGGCAATGGGATACAAAGTGGTTGATGAGTGGAGACCATGGATTTCAAATAACCAAGCCGCTGGGTAATATTTTTCATATATAACTTTCTTTTCGATCAATTTTTTCCCAACTCATTGTTTTTACAATTTGGTGTTGTAGGTTTACACAAGGTTATGCCAATAATCTCACATTTCTAACCATCAAGGTACAAAATCATTCATTTTTCTTCATATTCCACAAATGAAAACGATGTGTTGTTTGTGTTTTATTTAATGTTTGAATGTTTTGCTTACAGGGTGCAGGACATACCGTTCCAGAATACAAACCACGTGAATCTTTGGACTTCTATAGTCGTTTTCTAGCAGGAGAAAAGATATAGATTTCTCAAGTTTCATCTTCAATAACAAAAATATCTATAACAATAAAATTCAAGTTTTTTTCCTTAATAAAAACCTTCAAATTTTGTAATGTAATTTATAAAAATGTGAAGGATTCTAGTTCGTATAGCTAATAAAATCATGTGATGTTCTATAGTATTTCAAGGTAAATTTAAGTTATAAAATTTAAAATATATTTAGCTATAATTAAAATGTGGAAGACCCCTTGATTCATTGGTTGTTCAAAGATTAATTAATGATTTTACATCTAGAGGTTTAAAGTTTGAGTCCCAGATACTGCGAATTATTAACAAATTTACAGATTAATGGAGACAAGTGTATATGAAATTTTCAACGATGTGCAATTAGAGCCGTTCGCTGTGATTCCACACAGAAAGGGAAGTATCGTCAAGTCGTAAATCATCGAAATGTCCATCAAAAACATGAAAAAGAAAATATTGTCTATCGTAATAAGGATTGGGAGGAATTGTCTATGATAGAATCATCTATGTAATAATCCTCATAATTTGCAATAAATAATAACATCTAGATGTTTTAAAAAAAACCTACTATAGTTTAAACCAAAATCGAAATTGTACCAAAATATGTATAACCCAAAAATTTAGAAAACCAATAAAATTAAACCGGAACCGAACCGAACCGAACCGATATCTATATTGAAACCACGAGGTTTATTGAAATCGTCTTCCTCCTCCTTCTCACCATTCCGGTGATGCTCAAAATGAAAAGACGCTTCCTTTCGTCAATCTCCGCCACCGCCGGCAATACTAAAACCCTAAATCAAGGAAGATGGAGTGTGAAGCAAGTGAAAAAATCAAACTTTCATGTAACCCTCGACGAGATTCGAACTTCCATCGATTCATCAGACTTCATAGCTCTCTCACTACAAAACACCGGCTCATACGCCGCCGCGTGGCACCGTGTCTCCGCCATTGACACGCCGCAAACAAGCTACTTGAAAGCTAAATACGCAGCCGAACGTTACCAGATTCTCCAGTTCGCTCTCTGCCCTTTCTCTCTTCACGGCTCCAAACTCACTGTTCACCCGTATGAGTCTTAAATCTCTCTCCTTTATTCTCAAGTTTCTTCCTTTTTGCTAAATTGATTGATTAGGGTTTATGGGTTTTTGTAGATATAACTTTCATTTGTTTCCTCGTGATGAATTGAAGTGTGGGATGCCTTCTTATAGCTTCTCTTGTCAAGCTTCACGTTTAACAGCTATGGCTAGAGAAGGATTTGATTTCAACACTTGTATCTATGAAGGTTTATTATTGCTGCTCTATCTCCATTTGTTTCTTTGAGGAGTGTGTGTGGTCTCTTAACTGGATCATTTTACAGGAATTTCATACTTATCTAGAGCACAAGAGTCTGCGTCGAAGTTTCTCTCCGGGAATCCGATATTAGCTGATCTTGTTACTGTATCTTCTTCTCCGGCTACTGTAGCTGATACCGTCTTTGTAGGAAGGATTAGATCACGTGTCAAGAATTGGAGACAGTCTTGTATAGACTCGGGTTCAAAGACAGGAGATGGTGTAATAGCGAGTGTTAGACAATTTCATATGAATCTCATTTGCTCTAAAATTTCCAGTTTTTTTACCTGATGCATCTGTTTGTTTAATATCAGATGATTTGGTGAGCTCTTTGAGAAGACTGGTGTTGGGGAGTGAGCAGTATGGTTCAAGGCTGTGTTTGACGATTGATGTTTGCAGTGAGCGTCAAGTGCAACTTATCCTAGAGGTAGATGAGCTTAGTTGATACTTGGGATGATAAATGCAGTCTGTGTATCGATGGTTAGTTTGATAAATTTTCTTCATGTGTTTCTGAATATGTCATCACAGATGTTGACTGAGTTCTCTGACGATGTTGTCCCTCTACTCGTCGCTTCAAAGAGCAGAGGAACACAAGCAGTTCGTACTGTCTTTATGAGTTCGAAGGAGGACAAGGATCTTTTTAAGGTAGGGAGATTAATTGGGATTTCATTAGCTGGAAATCCTGTGTGACTCATAATGATGGGAAATGCGTCTTTAATGAAATTTATCTGAATTTTTGTTCTTGGACAGAGAGAGCTTCAAGATCTTGAAAAAGAAGAAAACAGGCGCGTTCGTGGCTTTCGGGAAGTCGTTGATTTGATTTCTTCTTCACAGAAACCTGTCGTTTCCCAGAATTATCTTAGCGGTAATCTCAATTTTATCCTCCTTAGTTTGCACAGAAATTAGATTTTCCCCTCTTGCTCCATTGATGATAAAAGTATGCTTAACTTGTTGTAGATTTTACTTCCATTCATACCAAATTCCTGGGTCCTCTACCTTCAAATGTGGATGACTTCAGCAGTTCACTGAGCTCAGCATTTCCCAATGTTGTGGATCTGAGTCAGTTCATGAAAAAGATTAGTCCCGTAAGTAATATAAGCAATCTACCTGCAGCTATGTCCTCCTTGAATAGGTTCTTTGTATCTGTGGATGTGGAAGTGGCTAATCAAGGTAGAGTTCTCTTTCAAAGATGTTGGTTTCTGCTTTATGTGCTCTCGTAAATATTTAAAACACGCGAGTTACGCAATTTGGGTGAATGGATAATGACTTTTATTGGTTTCTCTTATTACTTATTAGGCTGTCCGGTCAAATTAAACGAGGGCCATCAGAGTCACGGGCAGAATGCTGTGATGATATCTCAGCTTTTTGCGAAACTGTGTACCATACAGAAATCAGATCAATTGACTGTCCAATCAAATGAAGAATTACAAGCTTTAACTTCTGATGAACATGCAAATTCTGCCACCTCTTGCTCTAAAAAAGCAGGCGATGAAAATGTTAAAGTTTGGTCAAAGAACAGCCGGAGAGTAAGCTCTGAGAACTTGGTGTTCATATGGGGGTTAGCAAAAAAGATGACAGCTGCAAAACTGAAGAATGTCCTACAAAAGTCACACCCTGTGTTTGCGCAAGATTTTGATGTTAAATACTTAGACCGGAGCTGTGCTATTTTAGTATTTTGGGAGTCAGGTCCTTCGGAAACTTTCCTCAATGCGGTTAACAATGAAGAGCAACTTGATGGTTCCTTAAGAGAGATGGTTGCACAAGGGCTAAGAGCTTCCGGTTACGAGACTTACAAGAGAGCATGTAGATTAGGCTTCTGGGAGGCGGACTTGGCGAAATCTTTAGACAAAGCATTGGAATCTTCAGATACCGATCCTGATTGGGACACCAAACCATCAGAGATTGATTGGTCAAACGAACTAGCTATTAATTTTGATGAGCTATGAATAGTTCTGGTTCATTACAGAACCAATGTATACCCCAAATTGAGCACGTTAATGCATTTTTGTTCTTCCATGAGTTATTTGTCTAAAGATCAAAAGTTACTATAGCTTTATTGGATACAAAATTGAACCAAACCGTGACCCAACAAAAAATTGAACCAAACCGAAATAATGGTTTGGCCGAGGCTAAACCCGGTTTATGAACCTGTAATTGGAGTCACAGGCTAGAAAGCCACTGAACCGGAAAAATGAATCAGGCCTGCCATTCTATAGTCTCTATGCCACCTCTCCTTGTGATATTTCCTTTATACCCTTAATTAATATTGTTAATATATTTTATTTATTTTAAAACTAAAACACAAACAAATAAAAAAAAAGAAAAAAAAAAAATCAAATTTGTGGACGACGCCAACAATTCTTCTCTTCCTCTTTCGCTGTTTCGCCGTAGCTTCACTTCTTCCTTCATCTCAAACCATCTTTTTCCGATCTCAATACTTAAATCGTCGGAGATACATACACAAAATACATATATGAGAGTTTGTACCCGATACTCATACATATCCGTTTCTTCTAAAAGTTGTGGCAAAAATGGCGGATGTTCAGTTGGGAGAGACGATTCATTCTGTTGTTATAAGAAGTGGGTTTGGTTCGTTGATATATGCTCAGAACTCTCTGCTTCATTTATACGCCAATTGTGGAGAAGTAGCTAATGCATACAAGGTGTTTGATAAAATGCTTGAGAAAGATTTTATGGCTTGAAATTCTGTAATTAATGGTGTTGTAGAAAACGGTAAGCCAAACGAAGCTTTGGCGCTTTATACTTAAATGGATTCTAAGAGTATCAAGCCTAATGGGTTCACAATCGTTAGCTTGTTGTCTACTTGTGCAAAGCTTGGTGCTTTGATATTGGGTAAGAGAGTTCATGTATATATGATCAAAGTGGGTTTGACACGAAACTTATATTCCAACAATGTACTCTTGAACTTGTATGTCAGATGTGGAAGAGTCGAAGAAGCCAAAACACTTAAGCGATTGAGCTTTTCAGGAATATGGAATCAAAGGAGGGCGTATTACCGTGTGAGATCACGTTTGTGGGAAACCAAATGTTATAATCTCGAGAACACTGTTCGGATTTTATATGTATTTATTTGTCGTATTTGTACAACTAGGTTCGACTGGGTACAACTACGCTCATAAATGTATATGTATTTGTATTTAACAATTATGGAAACAATAAATTAGATTTAATAAAGATTTCAAAAACATCTTGAACTATAAAAACAATTTTAAATAAATAAAATTTGAATTTATCATTTTTTTAATATATACTATTAGTTCAACTAGTTCAACTATGTACATCAAATTTGTATTTTTTATTAAATTATTAAGTTATAAATTAAGATTTATATAAGAAATTCCCTAAAAACATCTTCAAAAATAAATAAAGTATTTAAAATTAATACAAGTAGAATTTATAAATTTTGTAACAAATTTTGTTTTTTCACAGAAAACACTCCTTCTAGTATAAGGAAGACTTAGTACAAGATCGCCTCATTTGAAGCAAAAGAGGTGAAAACCAAGTTTTTCTGAACATTGTATTATGAAAACATCCTAAATGATAATTAATAGTGTAACATCATGTGTCCAACTATAAATTACTAATTTTCATTAAAGTTCAACTGGAAATACAAAAAAATCGCTAAAGTCCAACTATGAATATAAGAGTACAACTGTACAACTAGTACAACTATGTTTAAAATAAACAATTTTTTTATTAATATCCTGCTGTCATTGGCCCACTTTACCACACGGTCCAATTTTTTATTAATATTCCACCGCCAAAATCATGCTTACGTGGGTCATTTAAAAAAAAAAATTTGGTAAAATGTTTAATATTTTTTAATACCAATATTTGTTAATATTTTCTTAAAATTTTTATTTTTAATTGTTTCAGTTGTACCTAAGTGATCTAATTGTATTTTCTTCTATGTAACACATACATGTAGTTGTACCTAAATAGACCAGTTGTACCTACAAAACCAATTGAACATAAATATAATCTAAATATTTTTTTGGTTTATAAAAACATGAAGTCATATGTTCTTAATCCACAACACAACAAACACAGAAATGAAATACAAAAACATAAGTTATGTGCAATCCTGGAAATGCAAATCATGATTGTCACAAAAAGACTTGACTTGTGCGCTTTCTTTCCAGTTCTTGATCAAGCTCTTCCTTCCACTTCTTCTCTATATTTGACAGAGCAACACTGCAAAGCCAAAACCAGCCAATTCAACCAGATGAAGGAATGAAACAAGAAGCCTAGACAAAGGTCCTAGACTAAGGGAAAAAGTGAAACCATTGCTGGCCAATGGCTAGGCTGAATTTTAAAGAGCAGAATGGTAGCTTTGGAAACCCAAAATGCAACAATTTTGTGACATGGAGGGCAATATCATAGCGTAAGACAAGCATGAATGGGACTTAGTCATGACTTCTTGATTCCTACTGAGTGCTTAAGAGATTTTCACACGGATCAAATCCCATCCAGAAACTAATGTAATCTACTTCCTCGGGTCAGAAACAAAAACTTTATAACCAACAAATTCACACTAAAAAGTTTCATACTTCCTATACGTATCAGAAACTATGAATCATTGACCAAGAGTATTTTTCTTTGATATCCTTAATCAAGTTTAAAGCTACAAAACCTAAAAAAAACAACAAACAAAGCTTATAACAAACAAACGAAACAAACATGTAAAAAGATGCTAACACATATGGTATAAAGCTATATTACCGGCATTAGCAACATGTTTAAGCGCAATCTCAAATATGAGACTTGCATTAGCTCCACCTCTCTATGGACATTCCTTGATGTACTTGTTAAACGTTCCAGCATCATGCCACCCTTACCAAACCTGTGATTGAAACACAACACAAACATACTATCAACATCAATAAAACGTAGCAATTTCTTAGGAATCAGAGAAGAAAACTTTTTTGAGAAGAGGCACAAAATTGGATGGCAGAATTTGAAATTGAGCAGCTCTTTGGTATCTTCTCTAGCATTTTTCAACTGATCTCAAACTGAATATTTCGTAGCGGCGGCTAAGTTAAAGCTCCGATTCACAGACGCAATTCGATGTCTCTTCTAAATTCCAGCAGATATGAATCAAATTAGGTCGCAAAATTATAGAATATGACAAGATATACTTAAATCAGGGCTAAGATTTAGAAGAGAGAGTGAGACATACCTGAGAGAGAGATGAAGAATAGAGAAGTGGAGAAGAGACGAGAGATCTGGCAAAATAGAGAGAAGAGGAAGCGGAGAGAGCGAGTGTGGATATGGAAGAGGAGGAAGAGCGGAGGAGACGAGAAGCAGCGGTGGTTGTGCGGAGAGAAGTAGCCATGGTTGTGATGGTTTTCTGAGGGAATAATTGAAAATCGATTGAGAGTGTTTGGTTGTTGAGATAGTAAAGTTAAGGTTGGGTTTTGTAATTGTAATCTTTTGAAAGGGTTTTTGGGCATTTCCTTAGTTTTTGAGCTTAAAAAAAATTGTAAAAGAAAATGGAAATATGAGGGTGGCATTCCAGCATATTTTTTTCCAAAAAGTGGCTTTCTAGCCATTGTTTCCTGTAATTGTTGCGTCTCTCCAAAAGACCGAGTCAGTTAAACACCGTCGGTGAGAAGAAATGGGGTTTCTGACGGCGGCGATTAGGGTTTCGACATCGGCCTCAATGCTTCTACGCCGTAAATCTCGGCAGCTAGGGTTCTCAGCCTCCTCATCGCCGCTCTTTTCCAGTTTTAATTCCATGAATCGCCCTATCAGGTACTACTAATTTTCCATCAAAAGCATTCGAGCTCGAGCTTTTGATTTCGGAGAATTCAGATTGTTGATTTGGTTCCTTATAAGAGATTGAGATTAGATGTACAATGATTAACCTATAATGTAGTAGCTCTGGTGATATTATGTGCAAGGTTTTGCATAAGGAGTCTCTTAATAGACCAATGTGGAACGTTAGCTTCTTAAGATCCTCTTGGTTTCATTCGACTCCAGCTCGTGAGACAGGTGATGACATTAGCAAATCTGAGAACAGTTCGAGTCAAGATGGAGTTGTTTCTACTAAATTAAAGAGGAAGAAGCTCAAAGGTAAGCGGGCGGTTGTGCGGTGGCTTAAGTTTTTCCGGTGGAAGAAAAAGAAAGAGTTTGAAAGAATGACTGCTGAAGAAAAGATACTTAACAAACTAACAAAGGTTAGCTAGAGAAAAGAATGCATCTTGTTACAGATTTAGATCAACGAAGTTGTATTGTTATATCTTATGTTCGTGTTTATTTTCGCAGGCTCGAAAGAAAGAGGAACGACTTATGGAGACGATGAAGAAGCTGGAACCTTCAGAGTCGGCGGAAACGACACATGACCCTGAGATATTGACTCCAGAAGAGCATTTTTATTATCTGAAAATGGGTTTGAAGTGTAAGAATTACGTTCCGGTGGGGAGACGTGGGATATACCAAGGAGTGATTCTGAACATGCATCTTCACTGGAAGAAGCATCAGACGTTACAGGTTGTGATCAAAACGTTTACACCTGATGAAGTGAAGGAGATTGCTGTTGAGTTAGCGAGGTTGACTGGAGGGATTGTGCTTGATGTACATGAAGGAAATACGATAATTATGTATAGAGGGAAGAACTATGTTCAACCTCCGACTGAAATCATGTCGCCGAGGATTACTCTTCCGAGGAAAAAGGCTTTGGATAAGTCTAAATGTAGGGATGCGCTTCGTGCGGTTAGAAAGTATATTCCGAGGCTTGAACAAGAGCTCCAGTTACTTCAAGCGCAAGCTGAAACGAAGCGAGAATACACAAATACGAAGGTTGATGATACTCAAGAGAGGTCAGAAGAGTTGAAGAAGATTATAGAAAGAAGCGAAGATTCTTTGGAGGATGAGCAAGAAGAAGAAGAAGCAGGATCAGAACTAGCAACGGATTCAGATCTTTCGGATATTTTTGAGACTGATTCGGAATTAGAAGACGAGAAAACAGAGCGACCGCTTTTTCTTGAAGAGTTTGAGAAATTCCCAGCGATAAACAACAACAGAGAAGACGAAGACTTTGGGAAGGCTAAATCAGAAGGTGAGGAGAATGACGATAAGTCCCCAAACTTTGATGAAGTAGATAAGATGTTTCTTCGGGCAGCTTCGCTTTTAAAGAAGAAAAGACGATGAATAATCATCAGAGATTCCATCATCTTTGCACATCTCACAATTGGTACAAGTGATGGTGTCATGTGTTTAACAAAGTCGCAATTATATCTCCTTTCTTCACATGCTCAAAGCTTTAATTCTGAGATACCAAATTGATAATGCTTTGCTTCAACTTCAAAAAGATTTGGTGAACGTAAAAGCTCCAAAGTATGGTTACGTTTCTTGTCGTTTCGTTGAAAATCATGATTTTCGTATAGCAAACTAGCGGTTGAACCAATTTTAGACAAAACCTCATAATCTATAATTCTAGGACAATTACAGAATTTGTTTTATCATTGATTCTACCTATGATGAATCAAGTCGAATACGTTTTTGGCCGAATCACCAAATGCTTCTTCGATTCAGAAGTTCTCGCAAAGAGTAAGATCAATCTACCAATTAAGCAAGTAGGAGTTAAAGATTAAACTATGAGCTTAATGGAGCAAGCTTCAAAAGAAGTTACTCCTCCAAAAATAGGAGTATGCCGTTTGAAGTGGAGAGGGAGAGCACACGGTATTCTTTAGTAAAAGGCGAAAGAATAGTTCGCTTTGTGCTCACCACACGGCTCCATGAGTTTATTCAAAATGCACCAGATGCTTTATATATATGATTCCTTTGACATTTAGTTTCGGTTTTGTTCGATGTGGGACAAATTTGTTTTATCTTTGACTGGGCTAAACTATCTCAAGTACTGGGCCGATTGGCCCGTTCCGTGACCAATGTGTTCATTTTCTGATCATCTTTTTTTTTTTTTCTTTCTTTCTTTTAGCAATTCGTTTTAGAATTACTGTTTCATTTTTCATTGTGCAAGAAGAGGAATTTGATGGCAGTTTATCAAGGTTCAAAAGGGTGACTAACCATCCATGATACAAACAAAACTGTTGAAACAGAGCATTCTTTAAACAGTGAAGGGGCCAGCCATTGATGGAAGATGAGATCGAGAGGAGCAAAGTTGACCGGGTTATGATCACAACAAGAAAGAAGGACCATTAATGCTTTTGGTTAGAAACAGACCAGCTCAAACATGTCTGATGGCCCATTCACCCTCAATCTTGATTGTGACCACGACATCTACAGAGGTTCAATTCCCTTAGGTGTTTTGAAGGTGTTACTCCAAATCATCATATGAAAACCACAACATTGTCATCTTGGACGGACTTCAAGGGTCCAACATTGTCTCATTTGGCTCTCGTTTTAGGATCATCGGATTATTGAAATACTTTCCCATCTTATAATGCTCGTTAATCAGCTGGGCCGAGGGTAGGATAGCCTTGCATCCCAAGTAACAGAGGGATCTAGTAAAGAAAAATACCATCTATGTCACTTTCTCATTAGTTGGTCAACTTTAATTTATACAGTTGACTTTTTCGTTTCATTTATTTTGCAAATTTACGTTGATGTATATTAGTATGTACAATTAGAGTGAGCTAAAAAAAAGAGAAAAGATAAGGACGGATATAGTACGTACCAATATCATATAAATCTGTAATCTTTTTGTATACATAAAAAATAAACATATTTAACTTGATTTATAGTACAAGGGAGACAAGGGTTTAAGAGCAGAGCCCGAGTCAACTCACCGTGTCATAAGAGAGTTACGTAGTTTCTTCTGTGTACCAGACACGACAATGGAGGGGCAGACTAAAGTAGTGATCCAGCGGTTATTCCCCTTAACCTAAGTTTCCAATCTTCCTTAACGGTTAGTCTACTTTATAACTGGTTGAGCTGTGGAAAAGTTTTGATGATCATAGAAATATTATATCACTTGGACTGGTCCGGTCAAAGTTTACGAAGCTTGGAATTTCATTATACGCAAAGCGGTAATTCTTTTATAACATGGATTCCTGAATCGAAACCGTGACTTATATAATCTCCGGTGAACTAAGCTATTACCCTCGGTGATAGCTTTACCGTTACTGGAAACGCCTCTTTGCCCTGGTTTTTTTGTGTCCACGTATGTGTTTTCTATCCAAAAACCAAAGCATGATAAGATGATGCATTGTTTGGGGTTAAAGAGTTTTTCTTCTCAGATGAATGTTGTGTGCATGTAGGATCCTAAGTTACTTGCAGCTTCAGCGGAGAAGCCATATGTAGGAGCTTTCCTTTTGAGGGATGACAATATAATTCATCATCAGAGACTAACATTAAAGGGAGAGAACTACTTACTTAACCAGCTTCATGAAATTGGCTTACTTGACTTGCTAAACAAACATAAGGGCTATAGGGCATTACTATGTTCTCACCTTCCCGTCAGACGTGGCTGAAGCAGTAGCAGAGTCAGAAGGGCATGACCACAAGTCGCCGCCATCAGCGGTTATGTCCCTTAGCCCTAGTTTGCAAGCATGCTTAATGTATTACTTGTGTCCCAAGAATCTAATATCAAATCCTGCTCCAGAAACAACCTGAGAACACCTTCTTTGTGAATTCCATGATTTGCCTACAACTAACGGTACAAGCGCAGGCTGCACCATGATCAAATCCTTTTTATCAGTTGCCATGAAGAAACCTGTGAGGAGGGATCTTGCAATGACTGGGAGACTCACTCTAACTGGAAAAATTCTTGGAATTGGAAGTGTAAGTCACAAAACTATAATATAACTGTTCAGCTACTGATTAATTAAGTTCCTGATAAGCCATGTAGGAGTCCTTATAAACAAAACCTCTCTCTCTCTCTCTCTCTCTCTCTGCCAGGTGAAAGAGAAGACGATAGCTGCGAGACGAAGTCTAGTGAAGACTCTAATATTCCCAGAAGCTAACCGGAGAGACTTTGATGAGCTGCCGAACAATTTGAAAGAAGGGATCCATGTTCACTTTGCGGATGAATATGAGCACTTATTCGAGCTACCATTCAACAATGATGACCATTAGACAAGTCTTTGACTTGGGTTCTTGCTCTGTTTTCGTTTTCATTAATTATGTTATCGATGATTATTAGTTCTAGAAAACAAGATATGAACATCTCAACTGTGAATTCTTATTAGAACCTCTTGTCTAAGATAATAATATTGGGTATAAATTATAAAACAACCTCCATAGTCATCAAAACCCAACACTAAAACATAAAGAAAAATCCCACCAAAGATAGGTTGATTCAATAAACGAGACTCTTCCAAGTATAACTTCATTCAGTGCTCCTTGTCTTTTTCTTCTACATCTCTGTCTCTATGTAGATTGCCAAAACCTAACACACTGTTGCCATCCAAATTCTCTGACTGTTCTTCATCGCTATTTTCTCCAGCAACTATAGTCCTCGTCTTGTCTCTCCTCTTCTTCAATCAATGTTGCTACAAACGATCCAGCCAGAGGAGACTTTGGGACATTGTTAGTTTGTGTATCAGGTACTGCAGCATATGCTTGGCTCTCAGTTATCTCCCTTATGATTTGCATCTTTCGGATCTCGTCTTGGTTCATCTGATTAAGATACTGTGAACCGGTGAAATCCATTTGCATGTTATAATGCTCGTTAACCACCTGAAACGATGGTGTGATAATAGCTTGCATCCGAGGCAACTCATTAGCAGTGTTAAAATTCAGACTATTGGCTTGACTATATGAGTTTCTTTGCCATCCACCGTTAGCCCTGAACTGCGGTGCTATGTTAAAGTTTCCGTCTCCCACTCCCACGCCACCAATTCCTATCAAAGTAATGGTTTTTTCTTTCTTTTAAGTCTCTTACTCAAATAAAAAATGATTAGCGTAAGGTCCAAGGTAAAGTACCTTGAGAATAATGATGATGCTGAAGGCCATAGTTGACATTAAAGTCAACTGTCTGGATGTGGCTGTTGCGAGATGAGTTGTTGTTTTCAAAGCCGATATCGAAGAAAAGAGATTCTTCTACCGGGAAAGGGACGTTATAGAGTTTGGACCAGAAGCTATTAGTCAAAAGCTTCTCCAAGTTCTTTTGCAGAACTCCGGGAGGAAAATGAATTGTATGTCTCCTGTTAAATAGAAAATGTAAGGCTTTAACTCACTTTCAACGTTACTCAAAAGCAAAAAAATGATCCAAGTTAAAGCAGGAAACCTGCAAGTAGAAGCCTGATTATCGGTGAAATCGCGATCCAACTGTTTCCATTGAGTGTGTTTTCCTGCTTGTGGATTAGTCTCTATGAAGAATGTTGGACGTTTTCTCAACTGCACATAAACATTTCAAAGATCATTAATCAAGGCTCATAACTAATTACAAAATGTACATGAGTATGTTTAGTACCTCGATTTTGAGGATTCCAGTTTCATCACGTGTATAAATACGCTCTTCAAAAGATGAGATATCATTCCATTGAATCTCGATCTTTCTCTTCAGCCTTGGCATGTTAGTGTCTGATTCTTCGAAGAGAAACTCCCATATAAGTTTCTTCTTAGCAAAATAGAATTTCGCCACAATATCATCAAGGTTTATTGCAACGGGGGTCCATGTTCCAATTTCGATCATGGCGATTGGGAAATTCATCGCTTTTAGTTTCTCAGAACTCTTAAGAAAAGTTGATGTTTTTGAGTTCTCTGTTTGTTGATGAGGACATCTGTAGTTTCTATTAAGGTAAGTTTCAATTTTGTTGATAAGCTCCGGACCCTTTGTTAGAGGCAACCGTAGACGTGGAACCTGAATAAACATTGAAAATAAATCATAACTATGCATTCCAAATATTAAAAAATAAGGAAAACTAACCTGCAATAATTGTATGAAGCAAGACGTCATTGGTATTTTAAGGTAATTATACCCTTTTGTTTTGTAATAAATATAATTTCGGTCCTTTATTAAAAAATAAATTACACAATATACATATTTATATAAACAGGTATCGGCTAGAAATCATAGTAGAAGACGATTCAGAAATAGCATCAGTAATTTTATTCAACAAAGATGTAACAAAGCTGTTGAACATATCTGCAAGTGACTTGGTTAAATATTATGTAAGTAAATCATATAATTTTAAATACTAATTAATAATTCAATTCAAGTAAAACAACATCAGCTAATTAATTCTATCAAAATTTAATTAATTAAATTCAGGAAAATAGGTTCAATACTCCAACAGATGAAAATATTATAACTTTCCTTTCCGAAAAACTTGT